CGACGCTCTCAAAACATGTAGAACCTGTGGAACACGGTTCCCAAGATCGCCTTACAACAGAGAGGACAAAAAGCAGTCACAGTGTTATGCGCTGAACCAAAATATGCAGCCTATCTCCTCTCAGTACAGGCCCTCTACTGTGAAGGTTCGGTGGTCTCCATCTCTAAATGCAAACTGAACGGAGATGCTACACAAGGCACCTCGAGGCACCGGCAAACACTGACGTACAAGCACTTTTAGATCTAGTTTGATAAGCTGACTGATGAAGTACACCAATTGGTAGAGGATAGGTTGAAAGACACTTTCCCTCAGCACCCACTGGTCGAATGGGTCCCTCAGCTCCAGGCTTCCTTGCCCCCAGCACCAACTCAAGAATAGCATGCATCAAACTCAAAAGAAACACCCCACCAAAACTAGCTGATAAATGGTTCTTCAGAGCAGATCAAAAGGTCACGACAATTTACATCTCCACTAAGGCGAACCCCATGTGCTTCAGATGCAGGATCAAGGGACCCATGGGGAACGACCCTCTCTATCCCCTCAACACGAGAAAAGGGGAAGGCAGAAGGCTGCACCCCTCAATGTTGGTTGAAGAAGATGTGATGAAAGGCATCTGGAATATCAATGACCCAGCCTACGTGGGATGGGTTTTCAATGACCTCAAAGACAGCCCACCATGGACATGGACACTCGCGGACCCATAACCAGCATGCAAACCAGATGTCTTCCCCCCGCATGGAAGAGATGGCAAAAAGGAGGTGGCAAAAGGAATGACAGATCCACACACAAATACGAAAACGCTGCTTTTGGCAACGCTGATCATATAGAACAGACAATGCACAAAAAACAAATTATCAGTGATGTGCATAACATAGGACGGGAAGCAGAAAAATCATACCTCGAAATCTTGCAGACCAGAAGTGAACTTGAACCAAAGAACACAGACTGGGCAAGAGGAGTGATTCGGGTCCAGCGAAAAGAAAGAACAGAAATGAAGACGATGATCCCAAAGCAACAGGCAAATCTCCAAACACCACGAAACGTAGAGACAACAACACATCAATTGAAATCAGTGAAAGTGAAATGCACCTGGACATAGCACCACCAGCGAAAACAGCAGATACCAGCCAAACTACAATACCTGAAGAGGACTTAGGCAGCACCCTGGAATGGCTGGATAAATATATTGAATCACTGAAGGCACGCAGAGACCTCGACTTGGAAATCAGGCTGGCACATGCCAGGCACATCAACATCCTGAAGAAAGAATCGAATAGAAATGACACAGGTGGATTCCCTACTAACCCTAGCCGCTATGATGCACTGCCAACAGAGAAAATCTTCTTTGAATTCTTGGCCTTGCAATACGCTGATCATCACAATGATGCAATGGACACAGACGCCACCTCAGGAACCTCACACTCAGTTTCACAATTGAGTGAGCTCCTGATCGAGTCGCCCAACTCATACCTGCGCGACGACACGGCCAATTTGGCCCGAAGTGAGAACGAGACAACAAAGATCAGCAACAACGAGGAGCAAGACACAGAGGAAACAAAAATGATCTCCCTGACAAACAATCTGCTCAAGCAAAAAAACAACCTGAAGAAGGAAAAAAGAAGACAGATCGCCATTTTTGAGAGGCAAACAAGTTATCTGCGGGAATAGAACCTGGAGCAGGGAGCATAGTCTCACTCCCTCAACAAAATCGCAAACCAAAACCAAAGTCTCACTCCCTCAACAAAATCGCAAACCAAAACCCCTAGGACCTGACAGTGGCAGCCACACTTGATGCACGCACCCTCTCCCCCACGATCCCATTGTTGCCCTTCCGTTACAACTCAGACACAAAGGAATGGCAGATTGCAGTCTGGTCCTCATTGAGCATCATCACAACTCAAGACTCACGCAAACGTCCCAACTTTGCGAGGGCAAACATCTCAGATAATCGCCCCCTGACCATGAAAGTGGTTGAGAAGGACAACCTGGACGTTTTTCGGGAAGATGATAGCGGGGAAAGACACTGCAACGACATGAGGCCAGTTCTGATTCTATATGACCAGCAAGCCCAACTGAGAGACGGTCTGGCATGGAAATCTTGGGAGATGATTTGCGAGATACCCTACTCACTATTGGTCCGCAAGGACGAAGTTGATAGAATTGCCTTCAGCACAGCTGCCTTCATGAGAGAGGAATGGTTGGGGAAGGACGAGGAGGAAACTTTGGAGAAGCTAAAGAAGGATACGGAGAGGAGAAGAAGAAAGAGGAGGAGGAGATAGGAAACAAGACCTCCCATCCCACTACCTGAGCCAAGCATCAGTCCCACATCAGATCTAACTGTTCCAAGCAGTGATGGAAGAACACTCTAACGGCCAACCTGATAGCGGGACAAACAATAACGCAAAAAGATCAGATTCACCACCGAAGCTGATATTCTCAAGGAAATCAGAAAACAACCTGAAATCACGCGCGTATCATGGAACATCAATGGTCTTGCCTCCATACTAGACAACCCAATCAAATGGAGGAACGTCATTGAAACCTTAGGGAGGTTTGGCCCTAACCCCCCAGACATTGCATGCCTCCAAGAAACACACCTAACCATCAGTAGCGAGCACAACAAATTACAATTAGCCCTCACCAAGAAACTAACCTACGTCCGGCCTTCTGGGCCAAAGCTGCAGAAAACAGCTCAGCAGGAATTGTCATCCTCCTCCATCAAAACTCGAAAGTCAGTGAAGCAATAAAAATACAGAATATCAACCAAGATAATACCTCAGGCAGATGGATCCAACTAGACATCAAATTCAAAGAAGAAGAGATGTCCATCATAGGCATTTATGGCCCGAACACACCACAAGACAAACCCCCCTTCCTACTCACAATTGAACAACTCATCCCCACACTTACACCCACCATCATGGGAGATTGGAACTTAGTCCAAAGCCCCAATCTAGATAAAATATCTCACTCTCATGACCCGACACCTCAATCTGACAGTGCAAACCTAAATGATTTTATGATCAGGAAAAACCTAATAGACCCATACCGTTTCCTATACCCAGAAAACAAAAGGTACTCCTGCATAAAAAACAAGAGACTCATTCCGGAAGGCGGAAAAGATACTTGTTGCTTTTGAGGACTGCTATGGTTTGAAACTGGTGAGAACCGATGAAGGAAGCAACTCAATTGATTTCATCGGTGCAAAAGTTGTTGTGACTGCTTGTCCAGTGAGATTCTTAGTAGTACCGCAGCTGAAGAACCAGGAGGCAATCCTAAAGGGAGATCTGCCATTTAGGAGTTTCCAGGATTACGCGTCCTACTTTGATAAGAGCGCGAAGTATGGCGCAATCGTTGGTACCCTCCATAGAATTGGGTGCATGGCTAATGCTTGTTGTGCCGTCATCCTACCAGTCCTTTGCTTCTTCCCTGGCAAAATTTGCCAAGGGAACCATCACAGCCGAGGAAGCATGGGAAATGATCCTCGACTGCATGGTAAAACGGAAAGCCGGTGACCATGACCGAGTGTCGGAAGTTACGGAGGTTATTCGGGAGGGGAATTGGGAAAGAGGACGTGAACGCAGTAGCTCGAAAGACAGGCGGGAGATTGGGGAGTAGGACGAGCCCGTTGGAAATAGTACTTGCTTCCAGACTAGCTTTGGATTTTCAGCCTCCTGTTTCCAGTTTTTTGGTTTCTGAATTCTGTAGTTATTACTCGCAATTATCTCTGCATTAATTGTGAACTTTTGCGGCCGACTTCAGTTTCGTTGTCTGGTTTGAGCTTCCAATTGTTTTCCGCAGCAATAACCGGAATTAGTTTCTGCGGTATTTATCTGAGGTATATTCTGTAGAAAATGTTTGAATTAGAACCGTGGAAGTGGTTGCATGAGACAGGAAGGCATAGATTTCTGCGGCACTTTCCTGCAATTAGCATCTGTGGAATTTATCGGAATTTATTCTGGGGTAGAAATTTTGAAATAGCACCGCGGAAGAAGTTGTATGATACGGAGGGGGAAAAGCAGGGCAGTAGATCAGAAATCTGCCCGATGCAAGTGGGTACACGCGCGCGCACGATATAAGCCGTGCAAGAGGGAAACGAAAGGGATGGACACGGGGCAGGAGGCCGAAGTTGGGGGGGGGAGGGGGGGAGGGGGCGAGGACATGTATAGTCCAGCCGGGGAAAGTAGGTGAACTGGAAAACGGCTTTCTGGCGGGGAAGAAATTGAGACGTCGTTTCACATTCGAATCCCAGGCACTACACGGGTCTGTATGCGCACGTAAACGACCCGGGATAGGAACAGTCCAGCACGGCACAGAGCCCAGGCTACAAAAGGTTGAACGGCTACGGAACCAAAGGAATCTGACGTAGGAAAGATGAGCCAATCAATGCCTGGGATGGAGTAAGGGTAGTGACCGTGCAAAGGAAGGTTCTAACTATAAGTTGAGGGCAAGGCCGTATCGGTCCTCACAAGCTCATGGGTGGTAGAAATCAGTGGGCTGAAAGGCAAGGGAACGTGGCAAGCCTCCTGATGAGACCGGAGCGCACCCGGTTGAAACATGTAGAGGAAGCGTGCGTGGGTTTTTGAGCAGTGTACACGCTTGCAAGGAATGAATTTTATTATTGTGTGTGAAGAGCAATCTGGCCATCGCTTACCTTCTTCTTGCGCAGGGGCCATGCTAATCTTCTCTATATCCTTCCAATTTTAACGGATGTCCCGGAGGAGTCGGGAGGACTCTATATTCGTGTTTCTATTCAGACTCAGTAGACAAGTCAAGAAACAAGTTTGATCAAATACGTGGGATCCTAACTTCGGCATAAATATTAATTTTCACATAATGTTATAATAACAATTGATGTTAATTTAACGAATAAAAAATAATGATAATAGTCATCATATGACATGATATGACAGTAATTAATAATCATTATTGCGGCCAGCCGCCGTCAAGAAAAAGCCAGGTTGCAAGTGCAACGACCCCCTTTTCCCAGGGCCCCCTACCTGAATCAATTCTGTCCTCGTGATGGCGCCCTTTGGAGTGCACTGTGGGCTCTTCTCTCTTCCTCTAGACCGTCGTCTACTCACTCCCCTGGGTGTTGGTGGAGCACTCAGCGAGCTGGCCATCATCACATCACCCTCCCCAAGTTGATTATTCCCTCCTCTTACATAGCCTGGGACCACCATCTCCCCCTCTTGCTTTGTCTGTGGCTCTGCCGTACTGATATCCGCTCTGACAAGATTGTCAGCGGCATCGCTCTGACGAGTCTGTACTCCTCTCTGGTCCATCGCCATAGTCGAGGCTTGGGAACCCCTGCGGGGATTGCAAAGACTGCCACTGTTCTTGATCTCCTCTGTCACGCCTCTCAATGCTGCAATTGCCTCTTCCTCAACTCTATGCATGGCTTGCATGCACTGCTCTACCTCCCTGTACACTTTCTCCTCCAATGCCTTTACCATCTCTGTTGCAATCGATTTCTGCCAAGAGAAAAAAAACATACAATGCAAATGAGAGAAAGAAGAGTATAGAACAAACGATGAGAGTCCACTTTGTCAAGCAAGTTATCTAGGGCAGCTGGGACATAGGATAAGATAAGGGATGATGGAACTCACATGGAACTCAGTGATGTAACTCAGTGATGGAACTCAGAAGGAACTCAGATGGAACTCAGATGGAGAAAGGAGCAAGTAAGTTGCAGACACGCACCCACGAATAGTGAAGAGGGACTTGGTGCACTTTGTAGGACTTTTTCGACTGAGTCGGGATGTAATTGACCTCACATGCATCCAGAAAAGTCCTACCATCGTCTTCCCCCAAAACAATGCACCCTCGTCATGAATGCATTGGACTGGAAAGATAGCTTGTATACGTTCATCATAAGGGTGCGTTATATTTGGGGGAAGACGCTAGTGCGCGGATACTCTTAGATGCAGAAAGCAGCATGTTGCAGCAACACATATTCATCATTCTACCGTATTCAGCCGAATAGAACGCCTGGTCACTGCAGCTGTCTTTGGGGCAACTTCCAGTCCAGATACAGCAATAGTTACCAGGTGGTCTATTCGCATGAAGACGGTACTGATGGGACTTAGCGCGTATAGTGCATATTCACACTAGTGGATGCATGCATACTCACACTAGTGGACCGAACTCGGACTAGTCGACTGAATCTAGACGTAACTGAGCTTCACATGTGTCCAGGAAAGCCCCGGCGTGAGAATACTTTTAGATGCATCAACAAGGAGCAAGTTGGAAAACAAGAACACATCCATGCATTTTCAACTGACTGAATTTAGATGTAATTAGCATCACATGCGTCGAGGAAACTCCTGGCACGAGTATGCCGGCCGGGAATGACAAATTGCAGACGTGGGCATGCGTAACATACAGCCAATGTCAAGATCTCCATCCACATAAAAAAAAGGGGAGAAAAAGATGCGGGTCAGCATCGCAAGCTGGACCAGCAGCAGAACAAACCGCACAATCACCGTAAAAGTTACGAAAGTAGTCAAATACTAAAAATAGTAAAATCCTGAGAAAGCACAGGCCAACAATTAATCTTAGGGCATATACTCACACTGGTCCACTGGACCTTTTTCGGCTGAATTGCAGTTGCAAATTGCGGTTAGATACATCCAGGACCGGACACAATTGTGATCCGATACGTCCACACAAGTCCTGGCGTGAGTACACTCTTAGTGTTCTCCGGAGTTTCTCCCCCCTCTCATTTGAATTTGATGCCTCGGCCTGGGGTCACACCACCCAGGATGTGGTGATCAACCCACCTGAGATTTTATCATTTTACAGAGAAGTGGAGCCCTCCAAGGTACAATTTGGGAGGGCCCTAAGTGAAGGCCCGGCCT